GTTTGAGAGAGATCAAGGGGGATAAAGTCCATCTAACTGCTCCTGCCCTGGGTGCCTTGCTTTTCTCCTCTCATTTCACCTTGACCCAGGCTTTTGAGATCAGCCCCAACATCGCCAGCATTTCACAAATGAGTAGATGATTGCAGAGGGTGAAGCCAGCTGCTGGAGACCACAGAGCTGTGAACAGATGTCCAGCTCTCTCTGCTGGCTGGGCTCCTGTCCTTCTGTGTACTTGCTACTCAGGGTGCCCTCTGCAACCAGCAGCATCAGCACCAGCTTCAGAGAGCTTGTTAAAACTGTGGCACCAGGACTTCCCCAGCTATCACCAACCACTGTGGCCTGAGTTCGATCCCCAGCCAGAGAGCTAAGCCACATGGTACAGCAGACCTCCCCTGTCTCACTAGTGCTCCCCTCAGCAGTGTATCTCAGTAGACCCACCTGTTTTGCTCCCCAATCTTGTCTCTGGTGAATCCTCTCACCCCTGCACTTCTGGCCTAGACACCAGTTCTTCTATGCATGATTACATAAAAATAAATCTTTAAACAAAATAAACAACAACAAAACTGTGGCATTGTTGTCTCAGGCCCTACTTCAGATCTATTTCAAATAGAATCTGCACTTTAAGCCACATAGCTTGGTCATTTATATGCATTGTATAGCTTGAGAAACACCATCAACTGACCCAGCTGAGTTTTATATATAATAAAAGGATATTCATGAACCACTTTTATGGATTTGGCCATAAAATCCATAAAATACTGTCTTTCATCTGAAAGTATTACTTGTCTTTTATGTTTGCTCAAAAATAAAATAAATGATAGATAACTAAGCCTATTTGGTAACATGGTAAGTAGCCACAGATAATTATATTTATAATCATATACTTAGGCACCATAGAAAAATGACATTTTTAAAATAAATAGTATATATATATATATATATAAAGCTCATGTATATAGTATAAAATATATAAAGTGTTCATGTACATAGACTGTATATTGTCTCTCCACGTACTGTCATATTTAACATGTAAACTGCACCATTAATAATAAACAGCAAAAGCAATGCTATAGTAGGTTATACAATGGCTACAAAATCGTCCCCATCCTGCATCCAGGCCCTGGTATTGGGCAGTGTTGCATCAAGAGGTGGAACAGTGTCTCCAGTTTTTGAATCTGTGCTTCACCATGTGACTTGCTTTGCTCAATGTGATGTTAGCAAATGAGACACAGCAGAGGGTTTGAAAGTGCTGGTGCATTGGGACCACCCTCTTGCTGTCCTGGCAAACTTGAAACTCCCCTGAGAACCCAAATAAATGGTTATTGATTTAAACCACAATAGCTGGAAGTGGTTTGTTATGCTGCACAAATTCACCAACATAACTGTCTTCCTTTTTTTTTTTTAAGATGTATTTATTTATGCATACAGAACTTGAGTATAGGCCAGAGGTGCAGGGGTGATGAGAGGATTAACCAGAAACAGAGTGGGGAGCAGAACAGGCTGATTGACAAAGTACACTGCTGAGGGACCAGCGGGCGAGTCAGGAGAGGTCTGCTGTGCCAAGTGGATCACTTGGGGGCAGGGATCAAACTCATGCTGAAGTGGCTTTAGCTTGTTAGTGCTGTGCTTTAACCTGCTGCACCACCAGGGAGGGCCCCAACAGAACTGTCTTCCAACATTCTGTTCATTTGCAAAACAATAATTTCCATGATCAGTAACAGATCAGAGTGAAATGATCTCTGTTGGAACTGAGTCTTTGTCCAGTTATTATTCACTTAAAATCAAAATCTTAATATTGAATATCTTGTGGAGGACATTGACCGCTAGTCCTTTAGTCCTCAGTATCTAGAGTAACAAAATATGGCATGTAGGTTTTCTCCACTGAAGAATGAAACTTCACCTTTGGCTGAAGCTCCTAGTGCTTTGAAATAGATTTTATCTCAAGCACAGTGGCCTTTGTTTTTAGTGGAGGTTTGCAGTTAGGTGGTGCTTTGTTTTGATTTGGAGCAGTCTCATGTATGTACTCTTCCTTAATGAGGGTAAAATATAACTGTGTTTCCCATCACAAGGAATCCCAGGGAGAATTACAATAGTAAGTCTTTAAAAAATGTAAATATTCACCACTTACTGTGTTTCCTTGAAGAGTGTGACTAAGTGTTTTGTCATTTTGAAAGAAGAGTGTGAATAAGTGTTTTGTCATTTTGATAGACTGGCAAACTCACTGAAATGCAGCCTTCTTTCTTAATCACTTTAATGAAATATAATTTATTTGTCATGAATTCACACACCACATGCGATTCCATGATTTTTAGTATATTCATGTAATTTTGCAACCATCACAATTTAAAGCCTGCACACTTAAAGAGAAATCCTGCACCCTTAAGCAGTCAGTTCCCACAAAGATTTGCTCCTGTATTATATTTACTCCAAAAACTTTATAGTTTTAACTCTCATTTTATACCTGTCATCCACTAGGAGCTAATTTTCTGTGCATGGTGTGAGGTAAGAGTTCACCTTCATTCTTTTGGATATCAGCAGCCAATTGTCTTGTTACTATTTGTTGACTAGACTGTCTTCCCCATCCAATAGTCTTGGTACCCTCAGTGAATTAAAAAAAACAAAACAAAACAGTTTTTTGTTTACATCAGCAATAACAGTATTTGGGATTGGGGAATTTTGTCTATTAGGTTTCCTTCTATGTTTTAAAAAGATATTTTCCTTTATAAAAAGATCTTTTTGTAAGCATAAACATAAATTCACAGTAATCAATAACACACTTGCCCACACAATCTTTCCTTTGCAGAGAGCTCCTGTTTACCCTTAAACACCTAAAATAACATTATAGTGGAAAGGTTGGTAGGTTGAGGCTTTGATTCACATGTGACTCAATACTCAAGTACTTTTAGAAGTTTGCCTACCATATGCCAGTCGCTAAATAGCTCATGACACACTGTTTATACTCTTCATTTCTTTTTCAGTTAATTCCAACATTGACTTTCCCAAATGTTGCAATGTCCTAGCCATATGGTGAACGAGAATGGTTCATGGAATAATGCATCAGTTTTATGCTGAATAGCCACTAGGGAATGAGAGAAGGAAAGAGAGACTTGTGTCCAGTCTTGAAGTATTTAGTTACAAAGAGACTTGGGCAATGAGGGTTCTCAAAATGAGTAGCGTGGTATGGCAAGGTTATTAATCACTGGGATTTTTTGGAGCTCAACTTGTTTCACAGCCCCACGAGAAATAATACAGTTTAACTTCCCAGGCCATTTAATTACTCATCCATTCAACAAAGATTTATTGAACACCTGCTTTGTGCTAGGGACTATGCTAGCTTCTAGGGAAGTACATAATTTTCAATACACAAATAATTCCTGTCATCATGGAATTTACATGTCACATTGACACATCATTATTGATATAAATAATATGAAAAATAGGGTAAGTGCCAGGGAGGAGGAAGCAGCACAGAGGCTAAACATGTGCTGCCTGGGTTTTAATGGCAGCACATAGTCACCTCGCTTCGCAGTTTTCTCTTCTATAAGACAGAAATAATCACAGGATATAAGTTACAGAGGTGTTATATGTACTAAGGGTGATGACGCAATCTATGCTTAGTGCCTGGTTCAGAGTAAATATTCACTAATTAAGTAAAGTGAATGTATGATGTTGTATATTCTTCAATTTTAAGCATTTAATAAGGAGTGTTTTTCTGTACAAAGGATGAGATAAATTAGATTCTTTTTTTAATTACAAATGCAAAATATTTCATAGTAAATACTTCAGATGTCCCTCTTTTACTTCCCTCCCAGGCCTCGTCTCCATGGGCAGTTACACTAAAGAGTGTCTTATTATCACTCCATATTAGTTCTGCATGCACAATAGTGCTCTGATCTGTGTGTTCACCATGAATGAGTGAGATCTGTTTTAACAAAAGGGTATTATGCATATTATTTCACCACTTAAGCTCTTAAAAATAAATAAGGCAAGATTTTTTTTTCTGTGACTGTCCATATAGATGCAGGTCTGTTTCTTTCCTTATTTTTTAAAAAATAATATTTATTTATTCATACAGAGCTGGGGTGCTGGGGTACAGGCCAGAGGTACAGGGCCAGTGAAACGATTACCGGAGACAGACTGGGGAGCAGAACAGACAGATTGACAAGATACACTGCTGAGGGATCCAAGGGGTGAGACAGGAGAGGTCTGCTGCACCATGTGGGTCAGCTCCCTGGCCTGGCCAGGGTTCGAACTCGTGTTGAAGCAGCTGTGGCTAGCTTCATAGTGCTGTACTTCAACCTGTTGTGCCACCAGGATGAGGGAGGGCCATGTTTCTTTCCTTTTGATGGCCTCGTCTAGCATTGTGTGAATGTTATCCTACTTGCGACCTTAGTCTAGACAGTTCTGTTTGTAGCTGAAGATGTTCACAAAGTCCCAAATTTTGCAGACATCTTCTTTGCATGTCTCAAAAATACTAACGCCTTGCCTTTACCTTCTTCCCAGGTGTAAGTAGGCTTCCTCTTACCAAAGACAATACAAAAACACAAATCAAACTAGTGGTTGTTTCCATAGATAGATACAAATCTGTGGTGAATCTTTTCTGTTTAGTGCTGCTCTTCTTTGAAAGGTTTCTGACAAGCTTCATTGAATGATATTTTACTATTAATCAGAGAAAGATCATTGTATTCTAGAAAATTTTAGGTAGCTTTGCTTTCCAATTGCTGTTTGTTTTGATGCCTTAAGAGGTTAGACAGTGCATCGGCAGCTTAATAGAGAGGGTATAGATATAAAACCTGTAGGCTAGGTGCAGCAGTGTTATTTTTTTATTTGACGGCTGAATCTCACACCCATTTAGAAACTAATGCCAATAATTTATTAATGCATTTTCTGATTTTTTTAAATTATAGATTAGGATTTTGAAGTGCAGAGAGCTGTTTCTTTCTATGAGGATTATGTAAGTGCTTTGCATTGATTTTTCTCCATTCTGTGCTCTTTCACAGGGACGACGCTGACTTTCACTGAGTGGACGTCCCTCACTTTGGGCCCAGGGCTGCCTGGTGAGTACTTGGAATGATGTGGTAAAGAGTTGCTGGTTGTGCCGTTCTAGAGCTTTTGGGTGATGAAATATTTCCTTTATTCACACTGATTTTCCATCTGAAATATCTCTCAAAATAGACTCAGAGACCTTTTCCTTGATCAGCTAAGCTCTAGTCTCTTGGCATTTTCTAGGTTTGAATTTATTCATTCCATGAACTTTGGGCTTTTCACCTTTTGCAAGATTTTCTATTTGCCACTTGTGATAGTGCCTGCCTTTAGTACGTATCAGATATTATTTGAGTTATTGTTCTCTGCAGTTCTTTCTGAGGAGAAAGGCATATAACTTGTTTTTAACCCTCTTAGCTTACAGGATTCTCACAGATGTGAAAAATCACAAATTTGTTTATTGTCAGCTGGATTCTACCTTCTATTTTGTGGAAACTACCTACAGAGAGAATGTAAATAATTTCTTCCTGTGCTGCACCAAAGTTCCATTTTATAAACCTTTAAGGAGAAACTGAAATAGGAATCAGAACTATTTTTTAAAGATTTATTTAGTTATGCATACAAGAGCTGGGGTACAGGCCAGAGGTGTGGGGAGCGAGGGAGGAGAATGGAACAGAGACGAGTGGGGAGCAGAAAAGGCAGATTGACCGACCTATACCACTGAGGGGAGCAGTAGGCAAGGCAGAAGAGGTCTGCTGTGCCATGTGGGTCACCCCCCTGGCCAGGGATGGAAGTCATGCTGCAATGACTGAGGACAGCTTCATAGTGCTGTGCGTTAACCGCTGCTTCACCAGGAAGGACTCTTACTTATACACTGTAATTTGCCCATGCTTTCTTCTAGAGTAAGAATCCTAGTGAATAGGAGGTTGTTCTTTTTAAATCTTTAATCAAGTTGCTGTCTTCTTATTGTTATAAGTAAAAATTTGGTCTATGTGTCATTTCTTAATTCAAAGGAAAAGAGGTCATTTGTAATGATCATACATGCAAAAGACAGCCAACAACTTTATTGCTAATGCTCACAGAGCACCAGCTTCTAGGCATTTAAAGTCACTGTCATTTTCTTCATTGTGTTGCATGTCAGGTCAGACTCTGCATTATCCTTTGGCAAGGCCTGTAGCTGATTTTCCTCTGCTTTTCTGTGAAGGGAGGAAAGAACTTTTCAACCTACACTTCCAAGTGATCACTGTTTTATGATGACACATGAATATCAAAAAAGTAGACTTATTATTGCATGCCCCATCTATTTTTAGCAAGTGCAAAGTTTTTACTGCTCCCAAAGAATGACTCATAAACCATATTGGAGCAGGCAAACTAGAGTTTGGGTATATGGAGTGCTTAATAATTCTGTAGGGGCTTTATTACATTTTTTCTTTGTTATATTTTCTCTGGATTCTCTACTATGCATAATTGTTATGATGTTCTTTATAGTTCATTTTTCATCAACTATGTTATAAGTGGTTCTTATGAAATATTATGTGCTTAATGAAAATAAACACTTGATTCAAGAGTGTGAAAAAAATTGCTAAACTAAAATCAGAATTTAGATGTTGTTTTTAGATATATTAAGTTCTAAGAAGAAATTTCTCTATATTAATTGGTATGAGTACTGTGCATTTAATTTCAGATAGCAACTTTGGTGGATCATGTTGGCTCTGGGACAGCTTCCCTGGTATGAGGGCTCACTCCTCTTCTACCCCCAAAACTAATAGGATTTACCAGGTTTTTGACTGATATCCTGGCATTTGTTTTGCCCTCTTCCCAAAGTGAGAAATAATTCTAGATTTCTCTCCTTCCTTTCCTAAAAGTAAAGCATTTATTCTAATTACACTCAATTATTGGGTTTCTTATATTGTGAGTTTTATTTTACACATTTAACTGAAATCTGATTATTATTTTTTTAAAGATTTATTTATTTATGCATACAGAACTGGGGTACAGGCCAGAGGCTCAGGGGTGGCGAGAGGCTTCACCAGAGACAGAGTGGGCAACAGAACAGGCAGAATGATGAAGTACACTGCTGAGGGGAGCAGCGGGCGGGTCAGGAGAGGTCTGCCGCGCCATGTGGTCACCTCCGGGGCAGGTGGGAATCGAACTCATGCGGAAGTGGCTTTAGCTTCCCCGTGCTGTGCTTTAACCCGCTGCGCCACCAGGGAGGGCCAAATCTAATTATTTTTAATATCTTCCCAAATTCAAAATTGGAAACACCTAGACTTTGGAATGGGGTTTTGTTTTCAATGTCTGCTGTTGCCCAATGTGAGCATCACAAATGCTTTATTAAGAGACCTTTTATGGGACCTTCCTGGTGGGCCATTGGGTTAAAGTGCAGCAGTACAAGCCAGTGACAGCCACGTCAGTGCTAGTTCCATCCCCGGCCCCGAGATGACCCACGCGGTGCAGCAGAACTCTCCTGTCTTGCTCACTGCTCCCCTCAGCAGTGTACTTTGTCAGTCTGCCTGTTCTAGTCCCTACTCTGTGTCTGGTGAAGTCTCTCACTGTACCTGTATCTCTGGCCTGTACCCCAGTTCTGTATGCGTAAAGAAATCAATCTTTTTTTTTTTTTAAAGAGACCTATTATATCCACAGTAGACATTCAGAATACATTTTAAATCCTATAATGGCATAAGGTATCCTTTAGATCTTGCTTATTTATGTCATATTCAACTTAGCTTCTTGTTAGTGTTAGGCAGTAACTCCTTCCTACAATAGCAAATACATAGAGAACAAAATGACTGTTTGGGGATGTATTATCCTCAACTTGTATTTCAAGTTTTGGAATTACCATTGGTAAAGAGGAATTTATTAGTCTGATTTAACCAAAGACTATCTTCAAGTTCCATGAAAAGAAATGAAACAACCATTGATACTTTCTTCCCTGTAATGTTTCAGTTTAGAAATATGCTATTCTTTTGAGGGGGGAAAAAAAAAACCAACCTAATTTGTTAGGGGTACTTTATTATATTTTGAATGACTTTATTTTTTTTAATGAAATATCAATTGGGTGAAGAGTTTATGATTTTAGTGGCAGGCTTGAAGTTCCACCAAAATTAATGTTGATTTGTTTTTTCTTTTACCTCTACTTTGGAGCTTTGCCTGTCCTGACTTCTCTCCTACCAGAAGACAGATATGCCATGCCAGCTGTTGGCATCTTTTCTCATTCTCTGTGACCTGTATTCTAGGGCCACTTGAGTGTTCTTTAGGAAAAAAAAGATACTTCTTGCTTATTTAAACTGTGCTTGATGTCGTTACTTGAAACTGTGCTTGATGTCATTGCTACAGAATGTTTCCTCTATGGTACAATGACAAGAATTGGTTCTCATAATTCTTAGAGCCTTTCATGCATGACAAGGGTCTAGTTTGAGCTCCCCAGAAGCCTTCCTGTGATGATTATTTCTTTATGGGCATTTCATGGAGGCAGTATTCTCAGGAGAAACTAGTGAATTGGTGAAGAAAAAGTAAGGGAAGAAACAAGTCAAGGAGATGATTTGAGCAATCTGCATACTTCAGTCAGATCCCTTTCTCAAGCATAGTTTCTCCTGAAAGCCAGTACCTTGAGCTCTTGGCAGGGGATCTTGGCTTCCCCATTCATTCCTGCCTTTGCCATTGACTGGGCTGCCACGAGGGGGCTATAAACTTGGGAGCACAATGGCTCTTTGCAGCTATAGGTGGAATTGGCAAGTGCTATCTCTTAGAAGCAAAGCAGGCAACAGTTTGAAGATGGGCCACAGGACAGTTGAAAGGGACCCAATGGAATCAGGGTGATTGGAGTGTCTATTCTATCTAGATGCATGCTCTCTCACTGGTTTCCTCACTCTTGCAGACATAGTTTTCATCCCTAAGGCCATTTTCTGATGTGAGTTAAGCACTTTCAAAGCTGTATAAATTCATTTTCTTCCCTTGAGAATGTGATAAGTTACTGCTTCAAATAGCTAAGTTCTAAAGTGATTGCTGTGTTGAGAGACACTTAGGTAATTTTCAGTGAGTATTATTTCTACATATATTAAAGTTAAGAAAATAAAATCTGAAATATCAAAGCTTTCCTTAGATGAACATCATCATGGATAATGATTTCAGTGCCCTGGAAAAAGAGACAAGGATATTTTATGATTGTATGATTGGCAGTTATTCTTATCAGAAGCATTTCTAAGCAAACATATTTTTTATTTTTCATTTTCATATCCAAACTATCCTTTTAATTTTTATTTCCTAATATTTCGCCTTTTTCTTTATGGTATTTTCTTTTCACAAGCCTTTAGGGAAATACATGATAGAAACACCATGTGAACAGCATAAGCAACTTTAAATTTTCTGGGGGCCTAACTAAAAAAGTAAAAAAAAAAAAATGTTATAGTAGTATAAGCAGGAAATTGGAATATCCAAGATAGATAGATAGATAGATAGATAGATAGATAGATAGATAGATAGATAGATAGATAGATAGATAGATAGATAGATAGATTGAAAGATTTACTTATTTATGCATACAGAACTGGGGTACAGGCCAGAGGTGCAGGTTGGTGAGAGGACTCACCAGAGACAGAGTAGGGGACAGAACAGGCAGATTGACGAAGTTCACTGCTGAGGGGAGCAGTGGGTGAGACAGGAGAGGTCTGCTGCGCTATTTGGGTCACCAAGGATTGAACTTGTTCTGAAGCAGCTGCAGCTAGCTCGTAGTGCTGCACTTGTAACCCATTGCACCACCAGGGAGCATCCCCAAGGTATAATTTAATAATTTATTTAGCCCAGCATATCAGATTATTTAGCATTTCAACATACAGTTAATATATTATTAATGAAACTTACATATTTTTCCATTTGATATAGATCTTACATGTGAAACAATTCTCAATCCAGGTTAGTCATCTTTCAATTATTCAGAATCCCCATTTGGTTAGTCCTATGGTATTAGGCAGTGGAACTCAGAAATGTAAAATAAAAGCTCTAGAAAAGACTTACTTCCATTGAGATAAGACTTTTTGTCAACACTCCAGAATCTCTCAGCTTGGTTATCCTAGTA